AACTATTGTAATGGGCGGCGAACGGCTACTTTAATGTTTTCTGGATGTTTCATGATCCTTAGAGTGTGAAAAAAATACATAGTTCCCCGTTTCCGTCCGTCTGTCGTCCTTAATTGTTGCAGAATTTTACGCGTTTACGGTAAAATTGATTTTAAAGTGAAAAATAATAAAATTGAAAAATGAGAAAATTTGGAAAACTGTAAAATCGAGCAATTAAAAAATCCAACAAGTGAGAAATCAAAAAATTTTAGCATGAAAAATCGATAAACTGAAAAATTCAAAAGCTGAAATATAGAAAAATTGTAAAAATTAAAAATCCGAAAACCGCAAAGTTGAAAAATTAAAAAATCCAATATTTTTTCTAAAATCGTAATCATCTAATTTTTCGATTTTTCAACTCTTGAATTTACGATTTTTCCATTATTCAGAATTTTACAATTTGGCAATTTTTCGATTTTCAATTACCCAATTTTTCGATTTTTGAACTTTGGAATTTTTCATTTTCTTTTTAATTTTGCATATTTTTTTAATTTTTTATGTTTCGGTTTTTCATTTTCAGTTCTACAATTTCTTAATTTCCTAATCTAATTTATCGATTTTTCAGCTTTTGAATTTTTCAGTTTGTCGATTTTTAATTATTTTAAAATTTCAATTGTCCAATTTTTTCATGTTTCAATTTTTTTATTTTTTTATTTTCAATTTTACGATTTTTCGAAATTTTACAATTTTTCGGTTTTTCGATTTTTGTATTTTTTTTTATTTTCATTTTCAGTTCTTGGATTTTTCATTCATTTTTTATAGTTTTTGAAGAGCAACTTTTCAGTTTGGCAGTTTTTCATTTTCAGTTCTTGTATTTTTATTCTTCAATTTCACGGTTTTTTGATTTTTCAACTTTTGCATTTTTCAGTTTCTCGATTTTCATTTCTTACAGTTTTTGAAGTGCAATTTTTCAATTTGACGGTTTTTCGGTTTGTTTTTTTTAATTTCGATTTTCAAATTTTTTCTGGTTTCACTTTTTTATTTTTCATTTTTCAATCAGTCAATTTTTCAATTTTTGAACTTTGGAATTTTTCAATTTTTCGATTTTTGTATTTTTTTTTAATTTCAATTTTTTAATTGTTTTGATTTTCGTTCCAGGTCTTGGATTTTTTAATTTTTCAATTTTGCGGTTCTTCAGCTTTTGAATTTTTCAGTTTGTCGATTTTTTATTTCTTATGGTTTTTGAAGTGCAATTTTTCAATTTTACGCTTTTTCGATTTCTGATTAATTTTAAATTTCGGCTTTCAAATTTTTTCATGTTATTTGAAATTTCTTCATTTTTCATTTTTCGATTTTCAATCACTCAATTTTTCAATTGAACAGTTTTTCGATTTTTGAATTTTTTTTATTTTCACTTTTTTAATTTTTTGATGTTTCGGTTTTTCATTTTCAGTTCTTGGTTTTTTTCATTTCTCAATTTCACGGTTTTTCGAGTTTTCAGCTTTTGAATTTTTCAGTTTGCCGATTTTTCATTTCTTAGTTTTTGAAGCGTAACTTTTCAATTTGGCAGTTTTTCGCTTTTTGTAATTTTTTGTCAATTTCATTTTTTTTAATTTTTCAGTTTCACGGTTTTTCGATTTTTCATTTTCAGTCCTTGGAATTTTTAATTTTTGCATTTGACGGTTTTTTGTTTTTTGAATCACCGAATTTTTCAGTTTTTCGATTTTTCATTTCTTATAGTTTTTGAAGTGGAATTTTCCGGTTTTTGATTTTTTTAAATTTCAGTGGTTAAATTTTTATGTTTCAGTTTTCTTCAGTTCTTGGATTTTTAAATTTTTCAATTTTGCAGTCTTTCCATATTTCAATTTTATAATTTTGTGATTTTTTGATTTCTCAATTACTATCCAAATTTTAAATTTTTCGATTTTTCAGCTCTTAAATTTTTCGGTTCATCTGTTTTTCATTTCTTATATTTGGCTAAATTGTATAATTGAAAATTCGAAAACGCGTAAAATCGAAAAAATCAAAAACTCCAACAAGCGAAAAATCAAAAATTTAAACATGAAAAAATTTTACAATCGAAATTTAAAAAACCAAAAATCGAAAGAAAATTCGTAAAAACGAAAAACTGGATGATTGACAAAACAGAAAATTACAAAATTGAAGAATTAAAAAATCCAGGAACTGGAAAAGACTGCAACATCAAAAAATTTAAAAAAACGAAATATCGAAAATTTGAAAACTCGAAAACCGAGATCGATGAATAAATAAATCTAAAAATGATCAAATTGCAAAATGAACACATCTAAAGATTGTTGATTGAAAATTCGAAAAATTGAAAAATCAAAAAACTGTAAAACTACGAAACCAGACCAAAAAATAAAAAATTGTAAAACCAATAATGTAAAACCTGAAAGATCAAAAAACTGAAAAGAAACTTTGTAAAATTGAAAAATAGAAAATTCTAACTGAAAAATCCAAATAAAATTTTTTCCAAATTTTTCGATTTTCAATCTCCAAATTTTTCGATTTTTTAGTTCTTATACTACATAGTTTTTGAAGTACAATTTTTCAATTGAACAGTTTTTCGTTTTTTTTTTTTAATTTCTTGATGTTTCGTTTTTTCATGTTCAGTTCTTGGATTTTTTAATTTTTCAATTTCACGGTTTTTCTATTTTTCAGCTTTTGAATTTTTCAGTTTGTCGACTTTTCATTTCTTATGGTTTTTGAAGTACAATTTTTCAATTTTAAGTCTTTTCGATTTTTGATTATTTTTAAATTTCGTTTTTCAAATTTCTCATGTTTTAATTTATTAATTTTTCATTTTCCAATTTTTCGATTTTGAATCACCCAATTTTTCGATTTTAGTCAATTTCACCTTTTTAATTTTTTGATGTTTCGGTTTTTCATTTTCCGTTTTTGGGTTTTTTAATTTTTCAATTTTCCAGTTTTTTGATTTTTTAGTTCTTCTACATAGTGTAACTTTTCAATTTGACAGTTTTTCGATTTTTGATATTTTTTCAATTTCACTTTTTTAATTTTTTGATGTTTCGGTTTTTCATGTTCAGTTCTTGGGATTTTAATTTTTCGATTTCACGGTTTTTCGATTTTTCAGCTTTTGAATTTTTCACTTTGACGGTTTTTCTTTTTTTGTTTTTTAAAATTCCGATTTTCAATTTTTTTAATGTTTCAATTTTTTATTTATCATGTTTCAATTCTTCGATTTTTCATTTCTTAGTTTGTGAAGTGGAATTTTCCGGGTTTTGATTTTTTTAAAGTTCAATGGTCAAATTTTTTTGATGTTTCAGTTTTCTTCAGTTCTTGGATTTTAAAACTGAAAAATTCAAAAGCTGAAATATCGAAAAATTGTAAAATTGGAAAATCGAAAAACCGCAAAATTGAAAAATTAAAAATCCAACAACCGAAAAATCAAAAATTGAAACATGAAAAAATTTTAAAATAGACATTTAAAAAACCAAAAATCGAAAATTGGTCAAATTGAAAAATTGGATGATTGAGAAATTAGAAAATTAGAAAATTGAAGAATTAAAAAATCCAAGAACTGGAAAAAGACTGAAATATCAAAAAATTGAACTGGAATTTAAAAATCAAAAATCGAAAAATTGAAAAATCAAAAAACTGGAAAATTAAGAAACCCCATCAAAAAATTAAAAAAATGTAACACTAAAATTCTAAAACCTGAAAGATCAAAAACTGAAACGAAATTTCGTAAAATTGAAAAATAGAAAATTCTAACAGAAAAATCCAAACAAAAATTTTCAGAAAATTACAAAATTGAAGAATTAAAAAATCCAAGAACTGGAAAAAAGACTGAAACATCAAAAAATTTAACTGGAATTTAAAAAAATCATAAATCGAGAAATTGGAATTGAACTTCAAAAACTTAAAGAAATGAAAAATCGAAAAATTGAAAAATCAAAAAACTGGAAAATTTAGAAACCCCACCAAAAAATTAAAAAAACCTAACACTAAAATTCTAAAACCTGAGGGATCAAAAAACTGAAACGAAACTTTGTAAAATTGAAAAATAGATAATTCTTACTGAAAAATCCAAATAAATTTTTTTCCAAAATTGTAAGATTTTACATTTTCCCAAACGATTTTTTTTCTAAATATTATTATTATAATTTACTTTAAACAACTGTTTTTTTTTCAAAATTCGAACTTTATTGTTTTTTTTTTTTATTTTAAACGCCGCCCTTTATAAATTTTGAACGACGAACCCCATATATTATAAATTTTAGACGCCGTACTTCATAAATTTTTACCGTCATACTTTGTAAAGTCTACTCCCTCATGATGTAAATTAGAAGCTTCATTTTCCACTACACACGGACGTCTTCAAGAATATGTATTTAAAATTGACCGATTCGTTCAGTTTTCAGGTAAAGTTGTTTATATCATACGCAAAAACAGTATATTATCGATGACCTTGCTAAATTATGGACACACCGTGTTAGGGTGCCCTCATACCATTGCACAATCAGTGCAATGGTGTTGATGTGGGCGAAAGCGACACATAATCGACGTAACACATCACCCCGCGACCGACATAAGCACTTAAATTACCACAAAATGAAGCTCCTAATTTTTTTAAAGCACTAATTATTTGCAAACTTTACCTGTTCGATAAAAAAAGGACGGTGCAGTTGAGTTTTCATCCTTTGATACATAATTTATAGTCCTGCAATACGTAATTTCTCTGAAAGAATGAATTGATTACCTGCAGTTATTGGAATAAATAAAATTATTTCCACAGTATTATATTCAGAGTTATTATTTAATTGAAAAAAACGAAGAAAAACGGGAAAACCTCGCTTGGTTGAATAATTAATGACTTATTTTTGCTTTGTTCTACAGCGGCTTTCCATCCTTTGATATATAATTTATATTTCTGTCACTGTAATTAGCCACAAAGAGGCTATTAATTGATCAGTAACTGATCTATGAATATAAAAGAAATGCGATTCGGACCGTCACTCAGAAAAACACCATCCACGATGGCAGACAAAATCACCGAAAGTTTCAGCATCGTCATAACCATATATCGCTTTCTGGGTCTATACCCAACCAGAAATCAATCAAAATTGCGAAAAATTTGGGTGTATGGTCTATATTTCTCTCAAGTGACAACAACAATCCTCCTTTTTGTTAATTTCGTGGTGGAAGGACATTCCGACCCTGCGACGACGAACCAGATGGGAATATTTTTTTCAGAAGCTGTGGCCAGCTGCCTAAAATCAGTACCATTTCTGAGAAATGGGCACAGGATCAAGAGCTGTATCAACTATTTCGGGGACCCTGAATTCGAAACGAAGAGCAACGAGGAGAAGAAAATTGTAGACGAGTGTGTGGGAATTTGTAGACGTAACGTAAAAATTTATTTTGTTGCCGTGTTAGTGACTGTAATTTGTTGGAGTAGTGTGCCTTTGTTTCAAAAAGTACGTCGACTACCAATTGACGTTTGGTTGCCCTACGACTTGCAAAATCCGGTGCTGTATTTTTTATCTTACACTTTTCTTCTAGCAGGTATTAGGAATAAATGGGTTTCGAGTTTCAAATCGATTAATTTTTGCTTTAGTGGGTATGTATCTGGGGTTTGTTGGGCAAATGATGGGACCGCTGATTGGAGGGTTAGCCTATCATGCCACCTGTCAATTGAAAATTTTGAAACATAACCTACGAAATCTAATCCAATACTCCGAGCACTACTCCAACGCAGAATTTGAAAGTGTGTTCGGACGAGTAAAACGCAGCATCATACAACACAACAAAATTTTGAAGTAAGTTGTCTTTATTATTATTTTTCACTAGTTAGTTTTAAACAGTCTCTCAGGTTTATTTCAGACTTCGAAAACTGTTTCTCCTTTTGCGTGTTCTGCGAGCTCGCCGCCAGTATGTTCGGCTTATGTTTTAGCTGCGTCGGACTCACCATGGTCAGTAAAAGTTGGTCTATTTTTCCATAACAAGCACGCATTTCTTTAGGTTTCTCTCGCGAGTATGTACGGTGTCATGTACATAATATCTTACGTCGTTCTTGCTTTCCAAATATTGTTCTACTGCCATTATGGGACGCTGTTGTTCGAGGAAGTAGCGCGAGAGAGTGAATTCGCTCACTAATTTGGTAATCTTGTAGAACGAAGGACTAATAACCGAGGTCTATTCGGGCTTCTGGTATCAGTGTGACGCCAAAATCCAGAAAGTGCTCTTAATGGTGATGGAACGCTCCAAAAAACCGGCCATTTTGACGGCAGGAAAAGTGGTCAATTTGACATACGGCACGTTTATTTATGTGAGTTTTTGGTTCGTGTTTTCCGTCACTTTTCCTAGTTTGGTTGTAGCTGTTAAAAACGAGTTATTCAATGATAACGGTAATGAAAAGTCGTTAGGATGACTGGGTCGAAGAGAAAATATTTAAAGTTGGTGTTATAAATTAATTAATATTGTCCAAATAAAGCATCAAATTGTCAAAATGAAATTTTTTTAACCTGTGGAAATTTTTTGGGTTTGGAAAATTCATCACATGGTTTTCCTTTATCGTATCAATGGAGAAAGTGTTAGCAGCGATAAATGGAGTCGTCAATCATACAAGATTACCGCCGTGTTTCTAGTTCCAGTACTTTTGAAAAATACACTGGTCATAGTTTTTGCCGGATATGGCGCGAGAGAGCGAAAGGGTGATTATTTTTTTTCTAATTTTCTTTTCAAATGCAGTTAAATCGAGATAAATCGAGCACTGATTAGAATGAAATATTTCCAACAAAATAAAACGCTAATTTTCTTTTGATTTTTATCGTAAGAACAGGTGCAACGAAACATTAATTAAGATTATCCGAGTAATTTTTTTTCCGGCTCCATAAATGGTCCTGAACGATGTGTCATAGAGTTGCGTTACTTTTTGAAACGTTATATTTTATAGCGTTTTAAAGGTATATTTTTTAAATCAAAATTAATTGAATACAAACGCTGATTTCCTTTTGATTTTTTTTTTAAGAACTTAAAGAGGGAGAGGGAGAGAAAAATTGGGCGTGAGTGAAAAAGAGAGGGAGGGAGAGGAGAAGAATGGGAAGGAGAGAAAAATGGAGAGATATAGAGAAATAGAGTTACAGAGAGTGAAAAAGCGAGGGGGAGACAGAAAAAAAAGAGGGAGGGAGAGAGAGAGAGAGAGATTAATTTTTTCGAAAAAATTATTGATTTCAATTATTTTTCTCTCTTCTGGGTAACTCAAAGAATCCAAAGAATACAAAGAATCAAAAATATATCAAAAAAATCTAAAAGATCCAATAGAACCAAAAGATCCAACAGATCGAGAAGATCCAGAAAATCCAGGAAATCAAGAAATCCCAACAAATAGAAACCAAGAATTCCAAGAAATTTAGGAAATCGAACAAAAATATAAAAAATCCAAAAAATTAAAAAAAAAAATCCAGAAAATTTAAAAAATCCCTGAGATCGAAGAAATCTAAGACATGCAAGAAACAAGAAAATCAAGAGAGAGAGACAAAAAGAAAGGGACAGGGAAAGAGAAAAAAAGGAAGAGTGGATCCAAAGAATCCAAAAAATCCAGAAGGACCGAAAGACCCAAAAGATTCAACAGATCCAGAGGATCCATGAAATTAAAGAAATCCAAAAATAAAAACCAAGAATTCTAAGAAATTCAAGAAATCGAAGAAATCTAAAAAATCCAAAAAACAAGAAATCCATAAATTCCAAAACATCTGAAAAATCCAAAAATCCCTGAGATCTAAAAAATCTAAGAAATGCAAGAAACCCAAGAAAATCAAGAAAGAGAGAAAGAGAAAGGCAGAGGGAAAGAAAAGGATAGAGAAAAAGGGAGAGTGAACTCAAAGAATCCAAAAAAATAAAAAAATCCAAAAAATCCAATAAAACCGGAAGACCCCAAAAGATTCAACAGATCCAGAAAATCCCTGAAATTCAAGAAATCCAAAAAATAAAAACCAAGAATTACAGAAAATTGATCAAATCTAAAAAATCCAAAAAACAAGAAATCCAAAAAATCCCTGGGATAGTAAAACTTTAAGAAACGCAAGAAACCCCACAAATTCAAGGCAGAGAAAGAGAAAGGGGCAGGGAAAGAGAAGAACAGAGAAAAACGAAGCGAAAAAGAAAGAACGAGAGCGCGGGCTAGCGAAAAAAAAAAGAGAGTGAACCCAAAGCATCCAAAAATAAAAAAAAAAATCCAAAAAATTTGAAAAATGCAAAAAATCCTGAGATCGAATAAATCCAAGAAATGCAAGAAACCCAAGAAAATCAAGAGAGATAGAAAGAGGAAGGGAGAGGGAAAGAGAAGGATAACCAAAAAGGGAGCGAGCTAGTGAAAAAAAAAAAAAAAAAAAAACAAGAGTGAACCCAAAAAATCCAAAAAAATCCAAAAGAACCGAAAGACCCTAAAGATTCAACAGATCCAGAAGATCCAGAAAATCTAGGAAATTCAAGAAATCCAAAAAATACAAACCAAAGAATCTAAGAAATCCAGGATCGAAAAAATCCAAAAAACAAGTAATCCATAAAATCCAAAACATCTGAAAAATCCAAAAAATCCCAATAATTCAAAAAGTCCAAGAAATCCAAAAAATGCCGAGATCTAATAAATCTAAGAAATGCAAGAAACCCAAGAAAATCACGAGAGAGAAAGACAAAAGGAGATGGAAAGAGAAGAACAAAGAAAAAGAGAGCGAAAAAAAGGAGAGTGAACCCAAAGAATCCAGAAAACAAAAGAAATCAAAAAAATCCTAAAGAACCGAAAGATTCAACAGACCCAGAAAATCCAGGAAATTCAAGAAATTGAAAAAATAAAAACCAAGGAATCTAAGAAACCCAGGAAATCGATCAAATCTAAAAAATCCAAAAAACAAGTAATCCATAAAATCCAAAATATTGGAAAAATCCAAAAAATTCAAAAATGCCTTAGATCGAAAAAATCTAAGAAAAGCAAAAAACCCAAGAAAATCAAGAGAGAGGGAAAGAGAAGGATAGAGAAAAAGGGAGCAAACGAGAGCGCGAGCTAGTGAAAAAAAAAAAGAGAATGAAACCAAAGATTCTAAAAAATAAAAAAAAACCAAAAGAACCGAAAGACCTATAAGAATCAACAGATTCAGAAGATTTTAAAAATCCATGAAATTCAAGAAAACCAAAAATAAAAACCAAGAATCCTAAGAAATCCAGGAAATCGAAGAAATCTAAAAAACCCTGAAATCGAAAAAATCCAAGAAACCCAAGAAACCTAAGAAAATCAAGAGAGAGTGAAAGAGCAAGGGAGAGGGAAAGAAAAGGATAACGAAAAAGAGAACGAAAAAGAAAGAACGAGAGCGCGAGCTAGCGAAAAAAAAGGGAGGTGAACCCAAAGAATCCAAAAGATGAAAGAAATCCAAAAAATCCAAAAGAACCGAAAGACCCGAAAGATTCAACAGATCTAGAAGATCCAGAAAATCAAAGAAATTCAAGAAATCCAAAAAATAAAAATCAAGGAATCTAGGAAATCCAGGAAATCTAAAAACTCCAAAACACAAGAAATCCATAAAATCCAAAACATCTGAAAAATCCAAAAATCCATGAGATCTAAAAAATCTAAGAAATGCAAGAAACCAAAGAAAATCAAGAGAGAGAGAAAGAGAAGGATGAGAAAAAGGGAGCGAAAAAGAAAGAACGAGAGCGCGAGCTAGCGAAAAAAAAAGGGAGGTGAACCCAAAGAATCCAAAAAATGAAAGAAATCCAAAAAATCCAAAAGAACCGAAAGATTCAACAGATCTAGAAGATCCAGAAAATCAAAGAAATTCAAGAAATCCAAAAAATAAAAATCAAGGAATCTAGGAAATCCAGGAAATCTAAAAACTCCAAAACACAAGAAATCCATGAAATCCAAAACATCTGAAAAATCCAAAAATCCATGAGATCTAAAAAATCTAAGAAATGGAAGAAACCAAAGAAAATCAAGAGAGAGAGAAAGAGAAGGATGAAAAAAAGGGAGCGAAAAAGAAAGAACGAGAGCGCGAGCTAGCGAAAAAAAAAAAGGGAGAATGAACCCAAAGTATCCAAAAAATAAAAAAATCCAAAAGAACCGAAAGACCCAAAAGAATCAACAGATCCAGAAAATCCATGAAATAAAAACCAAGAATTCTAAGAAACCAGGAAATCGAAATCTAAAAATTCAAAAAACAAGAAATTCAAAAAATAAAAAAATCCAACGGAATAGAAAGACCCAGAAGATCAACAGATCCAGAAGATCAAGAAAAACCATGAAATTCAAGAAATCCAAAAAACAAGAAATGCATAAAAATCCAAAAAATCCAGAAAACTAAAAAAATCCAAAAACGTGTCAGAAAAAAAATGATAAAATGCAAGAAAATCAAGACAGAGGATAGAGAGGGTGGGAGGAAGGGAAAGAGAAAGACAGAGAAAAAGAGAGCGAAAAAGAAAGAACGAGAACGCGGGCGAGCGAAACAAAGGGAGAATGAACCCAAAGAATCCAAAAAATTTAAAAAACCAAAAAACCGAAAGACCCAAAAGAATCAACAGATCCAGAAGATCCAGAAAATCTATGAAATTCAAGCAATTAAAAAATAAAAACCAAGAATTCTAAGAAATCCAGGAACTCGAAAAAATCTAAAAATCCAAAAACAAGAAATCTATAAAATCCAAAAAATCTGAAAAACCAAAAAATCCAAAAAATCTCAGAAAAAATCTATAAAATGCAAGAAAATCAAGAGAAAGGTCAAAAAAAAGGGGAGGGTGGTTGGAAAGGACAGAGAAGGACAGAGAAAAAGGGAGCGAAAAAGAAAGAACGAGAGCGCGTTTAGAGAAAAAAAAAAGGCAGAATGAACCCAAAGAATCCAAAAAATAAAAAAAATCCAAAAATACAGAAAGACCTAAAAGAATCAACAAATCCAGAAGATCCAGAAAATACATGAAATTCAAGCAATCCAAAAATAAAAACCAAAAATTCCAAGAAATCCAGGAAATCGAAGAACTCTAAAAATCCAAAAAACAAGTAACTCAAAAATCCAAAAAATCTGAAAAATCCCAAAAATCCAGCAAATCCAAAAAAAAAACAGAAATAAAAAAATCTAACAAATGCAAGAAAATCAAGAGGGAGGAGAGAGGCGAGGGGAGG